GCTCGCGGCAAGGGAAAGGCCGGAATCAATGGTGGTGCTCATCTTCATCACCGTGACCATCCGGAGGCCCACCAGGACCAACCACTTCCAGCTGCAAAACACACATTATTAACCAATTCAATATTCAGAAATGGAAAGCTCGACGAGTTCTTTCTCTGTTCTACCTCAGAGAAAAAGCCTTTAAATTTTGCTAACCGTTTTACTGATTCGTTAACTTATGACTACAAGATGATATTTCTGTTGATTTGTTTACCATTTAGAGCATCTGATTCGATTTAAACTTACCTCAAAGTATTGAGTGCAAACCGGGCATTCAAAAGACTTTCCTTTCTCTAGCCAGAACCATACAACATCGTGTTCATCCTCTGCAGTAGATCATACCAATCGACGGTAAGTAGATATCTAATGCAATCCCACAATTTGGTAAACGATGTAACTATCTTTCGATGTGCCACTAAAGAGTGAAAAAGATGTGAACTTACCGCCTTCACCACCAGGGCATCCCACGATTCGCTTGTCATAATAGGACTTCACAATAGCAGGAGATTCCTAAGGCAAGAATTTGACAGATGGGATATGTGTCAAGAAGATGAAAAAATTGTTGAAAGCATCCAATGGTAGCCAAAAGAGATGAATAATGCTTCTCGAGAGATAGATTGACATAACAAAATGAAAAACATCAAATGCCTCAATAGCATTATAGATATGCGGAATTCACCAGCCAAATTTTATTCCTACATGATTTCAGTAATTCAGCAAAAGGCTTCTTAAGTATGAATGTACCATTCAACCCCCATATCTGATTCAAATCCAAGCAAGTGCCTCTATCAGAGAACTACTAGTAATACTAGCTACACTTTTTTTTTTTTTTTGGACAACCATTACTAGCTACACTATTCACAAAATTTCTTGAATATATGACCAAAGTAGTGTCAAGAGTCTAATGTGACAATTAGACAAGACTCAAATAGACATAACAGACGTGATTACTACATGCCAAAGCAGTCTTAGGTGAAGGGATATTATGTACCAAAACAAGGGGTGCAAGTTAACCCATATAGGTCATAAGTAAATCAGCTGGACTCAATTCAATTTTGATGAACTTTCACGACACTTATTCTGGTTATTCAAGGTCATTAAACAGCCAAATTGGATTATTTTATAAAGGCATTCATCATACTCGAGTTAGGTGAAGTGTGCTTGGTTTGTTTCAGTAATACTGCGAGTTATAGTGAAGAACATAAACTCCATATCATGCCTAGAAACAATGATGATGTATAAACTTTGCAGTCAAAACAATGTTAAGATATTAAAATTGAGTGCCAAGACCAGACTCTGGTAATAAAAACTTAACTAACCTTTGTTCCAAAAGGACCTTCGGGGAAGTCAATGTCAAGCAGCCTCCTCCCCTATCCCAAGAAAACAATGACAAAGTCAGTTCATTTGTCTCAATTGTAGCGTATTATCGAGCAGAAATATATATTCCATTGTTATGCCAAGAAAATTATCCAGGATTAAACAGTCCTGATCACAAATGGAGTTGCAATAAAAACACATATGTATCATACTCAGATCTTAAAAAGCATTAAAGACAGAGAATATAAGCAATCACCTCCAATTCAGCTTCAAGCTCCTCCTTCTCGTGTCCAGTTGCAATGGGCATTACATCTTCCACCTTCTTCTTCGCTGGGGTCTCTACTGCAAAGCCACAAGCGTAATAACAGTCATTCACCTTCTTCCATAGCTCCAATAAAGAATACAAACACAAAACCGCAAAGACATGATAGTAGACAGAATCCAAGTTTAGTGACGAGAAAATGACAGAAACTTGGATGAATTAATGTTGTCCTTTTCGGCAGCGCAGTATTTATATCTCAAAGACCAATACAGAATCATATAAACATCCTCTAAATCTATGCGATACGAGAACAGTGAAACGATTGTGCGGGCGAGAATTGCATATAAATCCACCAGGTATAGAGTCCCGAGCTAAAGATCTGAAAGCGAAAAAACTATAGCAACGATTTATCACCTGATCCAGAGCAGAAATGGCGAGGGATAACGGAAGAAGAAGCGGAAATGGCTGACCGATTGGCACCGGGATAGAAGCCAACGGGTCTGGCGGTTGCGGCTATCGATCGACGAGGGGAAGCAGCGGCAACATCGGCGGCTAGGGTTTTGAGATGAGAGGAGACGATTCTTCTCCACATGGTGATGATGACTCGAAAGGGCTTCTTCGATTAGAGATTGTTTGAGTCGTGATCTCAGGTCACGCTTCGAAGGATTAGCCAACACACAAGCGATTTTATTTGGAATCTCTGCGCTTTGAGAGAGAATTAGAGTCTACCATTTCGGAATTGGTCAATTGCTTGGATTTAACTCGTACGTGCGAAACTACACAGTACGCACGTGTCAATAGATTCTTAGATTCTATGTAATTTCAAGCGGAGTTAATGTCACACATCTAAGCCAAAATGAAATTACGACGCAATCGACATGTATTATGATTACAATTTTTTTGCCTCGATTACTTTGTTTGTGAATCCAATTACACGAACTCGATCTCGGAACAAAAGCCAACGCCAACACTTAGCCATCTCCAACCCAATTCCATTTTTTACTTTAAAATGGAGTTTGAAATCAAATTTGTTCTAATCCACTCCATTTCTATCTCCAAAATAAAGTAAAAGATAAATTTAATATGTAATAATTCCATTTATTACTCTATTTTTTTATTTTTCACTCTATTGTTTATTCCAAAATAGAGTATGATTGAAGTAAAACACAATTCCATTTCAAAATTACTTCATTTTGGAGTAAAAAATAGAGTTTTGGATTGGAGATGATCTTAACGCTAACACTTTTTGTTTTTGGTAATATGTTACCATTTTAATAGCGTAACAGCGGTTACATAAAAACTTCGAAAGCAGAAAGATCGAATTATACTAAACATAAATAACAAAATAAAATGTCGAACAAGCTAAACACATATTATCAAAAAAAACTTTGACGACGAAACACCGATTATGAACAACTATAAAGATGCAAAGATGTGAACAAGTTCTTCCTGTCCTTCATTGACGGCTATACAAGTGTATATATATAAGACAAAGAAACCCTAAACAATTTACTTGACTCCCAAGCTAACATACAACCCAACACACACAAGGCCATGAGTCTAACACAAACCGACCCCGT